ATAGACAATTGTTGGCTGCCATGTGGGTGCTGGGATTCGAACCCAGGTTCTTTGCACGAGCAGCCAGTTCTCTTAACCACTACCACTGAGTCATCGCTCCAACACACACACACACACACACACACACACACACACACACACACACGTAAACTTTCAGAGCTGCTAAATTTCAGCATTGTGGATATAATCATGTATAGCAATGCCTGACCTATTTTCTGAAGTGTACCTTTAAATATTATATGTCACAGAAGGTCAGGCCTGAGCAAAAAGGAAAAGTAAATAAAGAGGCAGGATTGCCCAATCAGAGTCTCCATCCTCAAATCCCAGCTTTGCCACTTTCTTATTATGTTATTTGTGCAACTGTCTCAACTCCTCTGACTCAGTTTTCTCATTGGTACAATGGGGATAGGCAGGATGTGGTGAGGACTAAAGAATACCATCTGCAGAAAGCAACTAAAGGGGTGCCTGGCTGCTGTCTAAGTGGCACTCTAGGGGGATTTCCACACAGTGTGGTTTCTGGAAGCTGAGCTGATTCTCCACACCTCCTCACAGCCTCTCTGCTATTCCAGGGTGATGTTGGACTCAGTAACCCACAGCACCTTCCTGCCCAACGCATCCTTCTGTGACCCCCTGATGTCGTGGACTGATCTGTTCAGCAATGAAGAATATTACCCTGCCTTTGAGCATCAGACCGGTACGTACACCTGGAGAAGCCCATCCAAGCACAGTGGGGCTGGGCTCAGGCATGATGTACTGGTCTAGGGAAGCCCATAAATGCCAGTGTTTGGGGCAGATGCTGGTATAAAGCTAGAGGGAAGGAAGGGCAGCCTCCTGCAGGAAGAAGGCACTAGAATCCTCACTCCTACTTTTTCCAAATTCTCCATAAACTATTCATCTTGCCTCAAAGCAATGCTCACTAAGCATGAGTCCCCTGGCAGTCCCAAGCCCTTCTCCCTACCCCTTTTCTTTCTCTCTTTCTCTCTCAACTCAGTTTTCTGTACCTAACAAGGAAATTTGGGACCTTATGCAAACCTCATTACAGGAGGCCAGCTGAGCTTTGCCCCAGAAATCCTCTGAGGCCTCCATGCCCGAATAAGAGCTTGGATGACTGCACATCACAGCAAACCCAGCTGACTGCTAGCACAGCAGGTGCACACCTCACCGGTGATGCAAGTGCCAATGCAGCTTTCAGTCATCACCAAGCATTAACCCTGAGCACACTGACCCGGCCAGGTCTGAGCCTGGTGTCCAGAGGCAGGCAAAGGCTGAGTCTCTGAAATACTACATATTGTCACCATTACAAGGAAATCTAGAGCTGCACTTCTAGAATTGAAGTGCTTCCCACATGTACCCCCAACCCCCACACAGTCACACATGCACATGTGAAATTGCTCACCTTCCTGATCTTCTTAAAGGGAGGGATATTAGATAGGCTGACTAGCCCCCAGTGGATGAACTTGCACTGAGGGACATCTGGGGACACTAACTTGGCATAATAGACCTTAACACTAATAACAGGATGTATGAATTCCAGAGGGGGGGGTGATATGGGTGGATGCCAATGGGGAAGGAGGTATAAAGTTCATTAAGATGTTCTGTATGAAATACACAAAAATTCAATAAAATTTTTTTAAAAGAAAGAAATTGCTCACCCTCAGTTAAAAGGTCTGTTAGGTCTGTCCAACCCATGTGGCTGCAGTCCACATGTAGACAAGAATGGCTATTAGTGTAGCACAGCACAAAATCATACACATAGTTAAAATATTATGAAGTTAGCCAGGCATGGTGGCACAGGCCTTAATCCCAATCCTCAGGACACAGAGGCAGGTGGAGCTCTGTGAAATGCAGGCCAATCTTGTATACATAGTGAGTTTCAGGCCAGCTGAGGCTACAGAGAGACCCTGTCTCAAAAAATATATTTAATGAGGTTTCTTTTTAAATTTTATTTATTTACTTTCATTTTATGTGTATGAGTGTTTCACATGAATGTATGTAAGTGCATCATTGGATCTCTTGGAACTGGATTTACAGACAGTTGTTAGCACCATGTGGATGCTAGGAACTGAACCTGGGTCCTTGGCAAGAGCAGCTAGTTCTCCTAACTGACGAGCCATCTCTTCAGCCTCACATGAGACTGATTTTTGTTGTTGTTGTTGTTGTTGTTGTTGTTGCTGCTGCTGCTGCTGCTGTTGTTGTTTTGTGGGGGGGGGTCCCTTATTTTGTAAGTGGATTACATGGTTCTCCAGTATAAGCTTTGTAGATGGAATCCTGTATCACAATGTGAAAAGGTTGGACACGCCTGGTAAATCACTGCATTTGAACTAGAATCATTTGGGAACATGGTACAGTTCCTCTTTAGATCTCATTTTCCTGAAAGACTGTAAGAAATATACTTTATCACCTTCCCTCAAAATGTGGCTAAGAGGTTAACTTAAAAAGAGGAAAATGAAGGCTTTGGGCTACTTGTCCCTCTGTTTTGTCCGTGCCTGTTCACCCAGATCACATTGGGGTGATAGTCAAGAGATGGCCTCAACCTCCTGCCCACATGATGCCTCAGCCGTTAGAGTGGCCACTTCCATAGTTATGAAGAATCCAGGCTGTGGTGCCAGGTGACCTCAAAGTGAAGAGTGGCTTTCATGCTGTGCCAGCTCACTCACTCATGCTCTGGTCTCCTCATCTGTATGATATGGATACTAACAACTGGTACAATTAAGAGTGGTTGTAAGACAGAATCAAGTTCACATATGAAGTATCTGAGTCATGGTGTGCCACAAGGCCAACACAGACAAAACACAGAATCACTTCTGGTTGGTGATGAAGAGAAAGTTCTAGCACTGATGGCTGTGTTAATGGTTGCACTTTAAAAAGTTTAAAAAGGTTGTGTTAGGTATATTTTGCCACAGTAAAAAATACAAAGAGTTAACAGGAGGTATCACCAATGGAATTGACCATGTGACTTAATTCTGTTCACATATTGGATTCTTGGAACACAGCTCTCCCCAAACTGAGGCCTCTGCATTTCCATTAGTGAAAAAAAGTGAGACAAGGTCCTTGTTAGTATTCTTCCAGAAGCTTCTCTGAATCCTGCTTTGTTTGTGAGACCATCACAAACATAATCTTCTCCTCTCCACTACTGAAAAAATAGAAATTTCCACTGAAATGTGAGATCAGTGAAAATGAAATACCCTAAAGTGACCCAGGTTCTGAATGTTCCTTAGAGATGAGCCAGACCATTGGCATACCACCTGGCCCTCTGGTTTCAGAAAAAGCAGACATCTTTGACCTCCTAAAGGTCAAAGTTGAGTGAGAAAAGTTAGTCTTGAGTGAGCACCTCCCTGGGGGCTGCCCAAGTACTGGGTGAGCTTCATCATCCCTGATCCTCCTCAGAGTCCCACTGGTGGGAGGAATGCCAAGGGGTATCTTCTTGTCCTTTTCCTGACAAGAACATCTTCAACCACTGATGTGACATCCTGCTCTAAGTTTCTAAAAAGGCATTCTCTAACAGGAATATACCAGGAACAGCCAGAATGCCCTAGCGCTCACCTCTAAGGCATCTCTTCTCACCACCTCACAGTAATCGCCATCTTGAATTCAGAGCTTGCCTCAAGGATGGTTCTAATGATAGCTTCCTGCTGGGGTCTGGCCATAAGTGCTGCTAACACTGCCACTGACCAGTCATGTGACCCCCAGCAAGTCTTTTGACACATTTTCCTTCATTGAAATAGTGTCTACCTCCTAGAGTCAGGAGTGTAGAATGAGATTTAGTATACAAAGTATTTAGCCAAGTGTCTGGCACTCATCTTAGCCAGGAACCACCTCACAACTCCCAGACAAGTGAAAAACAGCCATCACGTTCATCTCTCCATTTAACCCGGTTATCTCAGTCATAACTCTCCCATCTGGGATTGAGACCAAGGGAGGAAAAGTGAGAAAAAAGTGATGGGCCTTGTAGACAAACTGTGTGTAGGGGAGCAGGTGGAGTATTCAGCCTACCGAGGGAAACCAGTTGTTTTCAAACTTTGCAATGGCTTCAGCAGGGATCAGCTAAGCTTGTGTAACCCCCCACAAAAGGATCCTATCCTGCTCTTTGAAGCAGGACTTCCAGTTGGCCACACTGAAGGCTGCAAAGGGCACAGTCGCAGATTACAAAATACCTAGAACTTTAGTAACTCACCATTATTTTGACTTAAGCTTTTCAAAACGAAGAATTGTCAGAGTTGGAAAATTTATTCAGGTAGAAGGTTTACATGCATTTCACGTGAATATGCTCTTTAAAGATTATATCTCCAATTAAGTTCCAATAGTCTACCTTCTGACAAATCCTGACCTCACAGCTGCTTCCTAGAGCTCCACCTTAGACATCCTCATCCCCACACACCTCTTCCCTGGCCCTCAAATTGGCCATGCCAACATGTGATGCCTCCTTCAATTTGGAATCTCACTTATGCTTTGTTCATTTAAGAGCTTTCTAGACTGGGGTGGCTAAAAGGGGTCCCAGGAGGCCTCTCACGTCCACCGTAGAAAAGAGCTGAAGTGACAGAGGAAAGCCTCGATGGGGGGGCTCTCCCATCTGGACCCCCATCCTCAGGCAGATTCCTTCACTTTCATTTTGCATAACTGTTGTTAAGGTTCAGCTGCAGGAGCAGGACTACACCTGCATCACCTGTTCCATATACATTGTGTGACTTTGAAAAGAGTACCTTCCGAGGCCTTACTTTCTCCATTTGTAAAATGGGTGACATGATCTAAGACCTCATAGACCATGTTGGAGATAACAAGAGAAAGTAGAAAGTGTTTAGCAAGGTGACTAGCACATAGGAGCACTCAGTAAATGCAGTAATTGCCATTATCCAATCGAAGATTTGGTTTGAAGAAAAGCTTTTTAAAAGAATAGTACAAAACCACTGGTCTTAGGCATTGAAATCAGGGGAGAAGGCCTTTGAATTCCATGTGGGCTTTTCTAAGCAAGATTCATGTGCTGGGTATAGAAATTTGAGAGCACACACAAGGTTATAGATCTAGGAATTTCTAAATCAAAATCAGAGAACAAACCCAAAACCATTTAAAAAGTCAAAGTTGAGCCCTGTGGCAGCAGTTACAACCCAGAGAATGCACTACTGGCCACTTCTGGTTTGTTTTACCCATTGGGGCCTTCTGGGCTGTCATGGTCCAGGACCACATGTGGCCTGGCTCTCTTAGCTCTACCCAAGGCCCAAGGCCAGGTCCCTTTGCAGACAGCTAACCAGCCCTCTCTTTTCTCCAACCAGTTTCTTACACTGCTCGTGGTCTAAATCATTCCAAGGGTTAGAATGAAAAGCCAAGAAAGGTTATAGGATGGGGTCAGCCCAAGCTCTGAGAGGAAACCTGGAAGACATTTATCACCACAGGATTTCCCCTGTAAAGTCCTTCCCTTCTGTGACAAAGCTGCAGTTGATGGTGCCCTGTGCTCCCCAGTTCACTCACCACCTCTCTTCAGTGTTGCCCTGGGCAAAAAACTTTCCCAACTCCCTATGCTAATAAATCATGCTAATTATGGTCCCAAATTGTCTAACTCTGGCTTCCTCTAAAGCAGACTGCCTGTCTCTCCCTTACCTAGCCCTGAATTTGCTTTGTTCTGGTTGCTCCTTACCTAGATCGAGGAAAGCTTCATTTTCCTGAGAAAGAATATAGGCCTACTCTGGGAGCTGGGCAGCAACTTTCCATTATGGTATGGATTCTCTAAGTCTCATGTTCTTACCTGAGGTTTCTTCAGGTCTGGGAGTCACCTCCCCACCCTGAGGGCCCTGGATCACATCAGTCCAGCTCTGAAAGCTCATGTCCTGATGAATTTAAATATACCCTACTTTATAGCTTCATTTGTGAGAACTCCCCCAGAATCACTGAAAACTCTCCATCTCCTCTTTTTCCCAAGGCAACTGGCCCTCAAGTGCTCTGACCCATTTCAGACTTCAAAGGAGTTGGCATAGCCTGATGCTTAATAGTGGCCTCTTTGGCATCAAGCTTTCTGGGTACAAGATGTTGGTCTCAATTAGTAACCTAGACAGAAAAGCCTCAGAGCTTAGCTTCTCCAAGAAGTTTAGGCTGTTTTGTAAATGAGAGATGCATTGAGGAAAACTCTATGCATTTCTACATAATACAACCTGATCAAGATGATATATTTTTATGGAAATAGACCTCTCTTTTCTTCGTCCTTAGCTCAGGTCTTCCAAATACCAGAAGGTTCCTCAGGTCATTCCTTGGTGTTGGAGGTACTTCTTCTGATTTTTTCAGACTTAAGTTAGATATACAAATATAATTATATGGTATGTATGTGTCCATCTGCCTGCTGCCTGCCTTCATCCAAGGCTTGTTTTTGTCAGTCCTTGATATTTTTGCATTCCTTGGTCCTCCTGGACCAGGAAGTGTGACATGATGCAAAATGTCCACAGGGTGCCTAATTCCTTACTAATGGACTCTGTGACCCTGGGGGGATTCATGGAACCTCCTAGAACCTGTTTCCTCATCTTTACCTGAAGATCATAATCATTGGCAATCTGGTTACACCTACTGAGGACCGACTGTGGGCTGGGTGAGGCTCCCAGCACTCCTGGTTCAGGATGACTAGAGCTCAAGGTCTGGGGAAGGAGGTGCTGTGAATCCTTCTGGAACCTTCTGAGAAGGACATTTGAGGGAAATATTCTCTGAAAGGGTAAGAAGTGGTTTGAGGAGACCAGGAATCACTCAACAGAATGAGAGAGAAGCATCTTCAGGCAGTGATGCATGGGCGGGCGGTAGAGGCCCCGAGGCCAGCTTCCTGCTTTCCTGAGCAGAGTCTCTGAAACCTTCACCTTATCAAGGGTGGGATGATGGAAACACACCAAAACCAGAAAGTCTTCATAGATGCTGGCTCCCCTTTTTTAGCCACCATGTCACTGAGAACTGCCATTTTCTCTCAGCTCTGGAAGCTGTGGCTTTGTTAACAGGAGAGCCAGCTACCATGGCTGGCCCCAACCCCTGCTGCATACAAAGCTCGCCCTGTGGATGAACTCCACCAGTGAGCTGAGAGCAGGGAGCCAAGCCAGTTAGTTACACCTTCCCAATGTCAGGGCTGACCTCCCACCCACCACTTCTCTGGATCCTTAAGATTCTCTTGGCTTTCAGAAGCAGTGTGGTCCCCTTCAAATGCCAAACAAAATCACCCTGCAGTAGAAGTGGAGAGGGGAAGGAAACAGAGACACAGCAAAACCTTTCCATGAAGAGAAATGTGCTGTGTGCTACCACATTGATAGACATCTTGGTCAGGGCCCAGAGCAGGACCAGCAGCCGAAGAATGTCAAGGCTCATAAACATCTCTCATTGGAATACCAGGAACGTCTAAAGGCTTCTTAGATTTATTCAAGCCAGAAATCAGTAGATGAAAACACAGACAGAACTCAGGAAAGGCCCGCTTTCTCAGAAGACCCAGCCCTCCCCCAAGAACTAGCCATGAGCCTGACCAGCCAGCTCCAGCCAGCAGTCACAGAGCAAGGAAAGGGTGGTTGGGTCACATAATTCCCCTCAATCGTCTCAATCACCAGGCAGGGACTATGACACCAGCCCTCACCAGCCTAACAAAATATCGATGCTTTCATGTATTCTGTCATGCATAGAAATGTGCATACACAATTCTGGTTTAGGGGCTGATAATATAAATAGTTCAGAGGTAGAGCACTTGACACACACTTGTGAGGCCCTGGGTTCAATATCCTGACCCAGAAAAAAAAAAAAACTGACAAATTTTTTTTAATAAATCAAGTCCATTACTTGGGATTTCTGGTCATTTCTACTCCCCTCATGATCTCTCTAGCCCCAACATCTTCCTGTACCATCAAGAGGCTCAATAATAAGAAAAAGAAATTTCTGGAAGGATTTTGAGTTTTAGAGGGAACCTCAATTTTTTACCTTTATGAAACAGCCCTGTCACACCAATTTGGTAGGATGGATAGAAGATTTAAGAAACTTGAGCTGATGCTGACTAGGACAAGTGGTACCTCAGTGTATACTGAGAGGTAGCCTTCAGCAAGGCAGACCCATCTCCTAGCTGGGTTCAGAAGCACCATAGCTCAGTTGGGAGAGTAGCAGCATGTGAGGCAGTTAATGGGGAAATAGAGATAACACCAATATCATTTGCTGTGGGTGATTGCAGGCTGTCTCTTTATGTCATCCATATAGCCTGGGTTCTATTGACGTTCCCCTCAGGCCCCTTCATTCCCAATGCTTTCATGTATCATCTCTTTTCTGTGTTAATTCCCTGAGGAAAGCAAGATGAGATGAGTGATGTATTCAGACAGCAATCCAACCCCAGCTTTTCTACTCACTGACAATGGGGTTTAAGGAAAATAAAGTCCCCACCGACCCTCAGGTTTCTTCTCTATGACTTCCTGGGAGACAGGAGCTAAATGTGCCTATCCACCATGAATTCCTACCCTGCAATATACAATGATAATATTGATAACAGCATTGAAACATACATTAACTCATTTTATCTGTTGGCCAACCCTGTGATATCGGTGCTATAATTATCTCCATTTCATCAACAGGGATAGTAAAACTTTCATTTATTGGATGGATGTGTGGTGGGTGGATGGAGGATGGATGGATAGATGGATGGATGGATGGATGGATGGATGGATGGATGGATACCGTGGTAGTTACAAGAATTACTTACATCAGAGCTGAGAATGTGGCTCAGTGACAAGTGCTCAGTATGTGCTCAGCATATACAAGCAGCTGAGTTCAGTTATCAGAGTCTAACCAAGTCCCTGATACCTCACCTCTTCCTTACCTTATGCCTGTGACTCTATTGGTTTCTCCTCGAGATACTGAGACAGGATTGTTGAGCTTCAACTCTCTGCACTTGAACAGGTGCTGTCATATCCCAGACTCCAAGTCAGAATGGCACTTGTAACTGTCTGAATATAGACATCACTTCTTTGAAAGAGTAAGTGGTCTGAGCCCAAGAGAAAAAAGACAGCACCAGGAACACAAGATCACTAATACAGCTAATTCCTCCGTAACTTCCTTCCTCCGTAGACATCTATTATCGTGGTCCAAGGTCTGACATACTATGGGCATCATCTAACTGGCCCAAAGCCCTGGAACAAGATGGCAGAGGCTATGCACAAACACATAGCCAGCATGGGCATTTGTCCGTTAAAACACATAGAATCAAACCCATTTTCAGATAAGTTCTGGCACACAGGAGGTACCTAATAACTATTGAATTGATTGATCATTTCCTAGGTACTGGTCTCCATACACTAACCGTAAACTCTACAACAACCCTGTAACTCAATTATATTTTCCCCATTTCACAACTGAGAAATCAGAGACTTAAACATCCTGGACTTTGTCCAAAAGGCAAGCAACCAAATCAAGATTCAAACCCAGGCCTGAAGGGCTCGAGTTTGTGCTCTTGATATCATGTTTCTGAAGAGCCTTTTTGCTTTCTTTCTTTATTGGATCCCCTCTTTCTAAGCACCAGAAAGAGGTCTGGTCACTTCTACCCCATCGTATTCTCTGTAACCCTACAGCCACCTACAGGATCAGATCCCATCTCTCTGGTCTTCTCTACAGAGGAAAAAGTAGCCTGAGCCTTTGTAGGAGTATCTCAAGGCTAGAGATCTTTCTATCCACTGTGTGAGGGATAAAGATGCTAACATAACAGGGGTAATCCTTTGGAGCCCCCTTGAGGACTATCATCCCTCATTTCTCTGTGTTCTGGTGTAGCCTGTGACTCCTACTGGACATCAGTGCACCCCGAGTATTGGACTAAGCGCCATGTCTGGGAATGGCTCCAGTTCTGCTGTGACCAGTACAAGCTGGACGCCAACTGCATCTCCTTCTGCCACTTCAACATCAGTGGCCTGCAGCTGTGCAGCATGACACAGGAGGAGTTCATTGAGGCAGCCGGCATCTGCGGGGAGTACCTGTACTTCATTCTCCAGAACATTCGCACGCAAGGTCAGTGTGTCAGCAGGCCAGGCCTCAGGGGAAGGCCTGGGATTGGGACCAAATGCCCTAAGAGATGTGAGATGCTTCCCTCCCCTTGGCTTGCACTGCCAAATGTTATCAGCTCTCAGTCAAAACCTCTCAATAACTGGAAACTCTAGTATCCCAGTGTAGTGATTTGGGGGCAGAAGGAAGCAAGAGCTAAGAAGGCAAATGTTGGGTGCATGTTCAAAAGAAAAGCAAACCCAAAACTTTTGTAGGGATGGCCAAAGTCAGGCTGAAAGTCACAAATTATGCAGGATGTTCATAAAGATTTGAAACCATGAATGACAGGCAAAAAAAAAAAAAAGCCTTTCAACTTCATTTCTTACTAAGCAGAAAATGAAAATAGACTTTTTCCCTTTCTATTTCCTGAGGAGTCCAAAGAATTGCCATTTCATCTTAGCACATTCCTATTAGTCTAGGATCCAACAGCCAGAAGGTGGCACCAGTGGCATCATTTAACTCCTCAATCTGCCCTCTCGGAGCACAATGTGCATGAACATGTCTTTTTCAAACCAGAGTTTTTTTTTGAGAGCATCTAATTCTGTGTCTCAATGATAATACAGTTGACATCCCAAGTTGACTTCACTGTGGGTGGACAAAGTGAAAAGTTGAAGATCAGAAGGACCCTTTCACATTAATACAGCTCTGCCTCCCACATGTGAAAGCCACAGGGCCTGGCAAGAAACTCCACCTGGCCAAATCCCCATGGCCTTGTCTGTCTCCTGAGAGGATGATCCACCCTCCCTGGGCCTTTCCAGGGGATTTAGTGGAAGATTACCTGGCACAGCATATAAGTGCGCAAATACACTGTATAGCAGTTTTTAATATAATCAAGAAACAGAAAAAAAATTGAAACTAAATCAAGCACATCTCTCCTTGAATTCAAGGAGCATCTTTGTAAAAGTTGGCCCTTTCTCTTAGAAACGTTAGTTTTCTTTTAGAAAACCCTGGAGGCAGGTCATACCACTGGAAAAGCCAAGTCACCTACTAGCCTGGCCCCTGCTTGACAGGAACACTGTGGACAAAGAAGGGATTCTTGTTTGAGCAAAGAAATCACAGACTACTTCCAGCACTAGGATTCTATGGTCTCCATTTGTTTTTCCCCCACCATGAAGGCCCAAGACTAAAACAGAAAGTGAAGAATGGTGGCCCTGAGCCAGAAACAGAAACCTGTTCTTAGAGTGTACACTCCCTAAAAGGGGACAATTCTGAGTGTCACAGTCATATGGGAAAAGGATCTTGGGACTCCACTCAAAAACCTCCCAAGGGATAGAATGCCAGGACCATGGAAAGGGTCATATTCTGAACAATGCATCTTGGTATAGCCATCTTGGCCAAATGCCACAATAACCAAACTTGTCTCTAGGCCCAAAGAAGCCCCTGGGTTGATGTTTTCCAACATGGTCACCTCCTTTCCCTGGAAATTATTATATCAAAAATACCTTGTCCTATTGACTCAGGGATCTGTAAAAAATGAATAAGCTAAAAGCTGGCTGTTTGGACTGAAGAGATGGTTCAGCAGTTTCAAGAGTACTTGCTGTTCTTCCAGGGGATCCAAGTTTGGTTCCACGTACCAACATCAGGAGGCTCAGAGCCTCCTGTAACCCCAGCTCTATGGCATTCTATGTCCTCTTCTAGCCTCCTTGGACACCTCCATACACATGGCATATACGTACAGACACACAATACACATAAATAAAAACAATAAATTAAATAAATAAAATACAGGCTGGCTGGTTTTAATAAGTCATGGTTTCTCTTATTCTGAGGACTACCTGAGTGATGTGCCACCTCCAATGATGGTACTTAGGGCACTCTCTAAGTAAGGAGGTTGGGAAGTATCTGCTCTACCAACCTGTTCCATTCTGAAATTCCTCTATTGCAGTAAGATTTAAAGACCTAGAAACATGGAGGCACTAATCACTGGCAAGAGAAGTCAGGTGAAAGACTAAGGGCAGAAAGTGGCTTTCACTGTGTAAGAGAAGGAAGAGTTTCTCATCTGTCTCTTGTCCTGTTTCTGGTTGGCCCTTTGGCCAGAGTACTCCCATTTCGTTACTAAAGAGAAAGTAGTCCTTGTGTTGGATGCCAAGTTAGGAAATAGGTCATATGGCCTGTCCTGCAACCTGGAAACATGATTCCCAATTCAACCCCAGCCCACCATTCTACAAAGTAGGGAACCAACATGGTCTTCCAGTCAACTGGGCATTCAAAGAGTTGTGTGTTTCTTTTGGCCTCTGATTCCCATTCTTCCTTTTGGCTATCATATAACAGGCATTCTGGTCTCCAAGGATTATAGTCCTATGTCAGAAATCACAAGCCCAGGTCCAAAGGGGAGCTGATTAGGTGTTTTGCTTCATGTCCCATTGAGACTGACCAATGAGCCCAGAGACCAAATGTCTGGCAAAGCCACCCGGGGGTCAATGGTCCAGCTCAGTTCAAAGTCTAGCCTTTCTGGATCCCAGACAAGATTCATTCCCTAGAGCTCACTCAACAGATCCACAGAGGCTTCTAGAGTCCCCAATTCCAGGTGCTCTTTCTAAGTAATTATGAAAAAAGGACATTGTCACCTCTCAAGGATGGCTAGGGTCAGATAGTCTCCACTTTCCCCCCTGAAATAAAACCGCCCCTCAGAGGGGAAGTGTCAGTTCTCTTCCCGACACCTCCTCTCCTAGACTGGCCAGTAGAATCCAGGATTGCACGGAACCGTTTGTGAGTATCTTTTTCTCTTTTTTTCCCCACCCAGGTTATTCCTTTTTCAATGATGCTGAAGAGACCAAGGCCACCATCAAAGACTGTAAGTATCAAACTCAAGCTTCCCAAAGCTGTACAGGCTATTGTTGCACTCATCAGTTTGATCATACTTTAACAACCACATAGAAGGTTGATGAACCAAAATAAGCCAAGAGAGAGTAGAGGAGAAATGTGATAGAAAGAGCGTGGGAAGGGAGAGGTCTATAGACCAAGCTCATATCCATGGAGTCCCTATCCTCCCCAAGGCTCCATTCCCCTGTCTATAAAATAGCAAGACCCTGCTGGGTTTAGTAAGTTCAAGAAATAATGCATTTACGCATGGTAAGATGCCTAGTAGGTACCTGCAGTGTGGATGTTCTAAAACCAGAGCTGTTAGCCCTAATGTTAATGACTCTCAAGCTTTAGAGGTCTGTACTGTTAACACTTCAGAGCAATACAAGCTCACTGGGTAGGTCAAACTGAGAGAAGATCTCAAATGGCCTATGATCTTCAAGATCAGTTGTTCCTACTTCACTTTTAAAGATGCTGAAAGGGAAAGGGAACTTTCGAGCTTCCATTTTTTTAAAGATAGCAATTACTATTGATACCCATTATTGAGTCCCATGCAAAGACCATGGCCCAGGGTTCAGGAGGAGATGTGGTCCTAGTTAAACCCTTCTTCAAAGGACTTTAGCCTTCAATGGCCTCTGAGAGATGGACCCAGAGGGACAGACACTGGGGAACAATTTCTTAGGATTTACTTTTTCTTTCCCTAAAAATCTCAATCAATTGAAAATTCAGATTCTCTGACTCGCGGTGAACAAAACTTTTGTGATTTTTGTTTGTTGGGTTTTGAAGCATTAGCAGAACAGTAGGGTCCATGAAGCATAGTTATGCTGACAAGTGCAAAGGCCCTGTGGGAAGAGCAAGTATGGTCCTTGAAGAAGACTCCCAAAAGCCAGACGATCTATTGTTAGGTTATCTTCAACAGTAGCTACTAGCCTCATGTGGCCATTTAAATTACTTAAAATTAAATAATATTAAAATTCATGTCCTTGGGAGCCCTAGCCACATTTTAAATGCTCAGTAACCACAGGTGGCCACTGGCTGCCATATTGGGCTGCTGGGATTTCTCCATCACAGGAAGTTTCTCTGGGAAGGTTCAGTAGTGAATCAGCAACATCCTCAGGAGGGTGAGAACTGAGGCAGTGAAGGGACACATTTGTGGGTAATTTAGTTTGGGCTTCATGCTGAGCAACACACAGGTGTTCTAGAACCACAGAGAGCTCCACCCTAGGCCATATATTCTGGAAAGGTTTCTGAAAAGGTACTGTGAGAATCAGCTGGGTAGAAATAGTGGGTGGGGAGACTGTGCAAAAATCCTGAGACAGAGGAAAATCACACACATTGGGACCATCTGACCCAAGAGAAGAGAGAATGTTGGGGAGCAGAAATAGACAAGATTAGAGAGCTGGATGGGGCCTAGTTTATGAAAGGCCTGGCTATTATGACAGCCTTCATCCTGGTGACAAGAGGGACCCACTACAGGATGGTCAGTTGGACAGTGATATGACCCAGTGGCACAGAGACAAGTCAAGGACACCATTTCCTCCCAGGATGGCAAATCTATTCCTTTGTCCCATTAATATACATCTTAGACTGTACAGTCAGTGTGAACAGTATCGTTTAGTGGCAGAAAATTACACTTATTCAGTACCTACTGTATACCCAGTTCTATGCCAAGTACTGAGGGAACACATAAGCAAACACAAATCCCTACCCTCTAGTGGACACAGTCATCAAATCACATAAATAGATACATCATGAAGGAGTCCAACGGCAATAAAGAAAGGGCAGTGGGTATGAGGTGCTGCCTAGAGGCACATGTGTATGAGTGATCACAACTTGCATAGTCAGAGAAGCTCCCCTGGAAGGTGATTTTGAGCCAAGATTGAGATGAGGGTGTGAAACCCCAGATATTCATACAAAGCACATTCTGGGCAAAGGGAAGAGCAGGCGCAAAGCCCCAACGTAGAATGTACACGCACGGTGAGAAAGAGCCAGAGCCAAAGCCAGGGCAGCTGGAGCAACGTGAACACAGAGCTGACAGAAGAGGCAGAGACTTAATGTAGAGCAGAAGATGGCAGGTCTGGTTCTGACATTTTTTAAATTTCATACACATTGGAACAATGCAGATATAGATAGTTAAGACTATGATTATAATGTGACATATATAATTCAACTTAACATTAATTATTGCTTCTTTCATAAACTCTAATCTCTTTCTTTTTACTATGTCCCTTCCAATCTGTTCTCCACACTATAGCCAGAGGGATCATCTTAAAATGTAAGTGTTTGAGCCAGGGATGTAGCTCAGTAGATAGTGTTGGTCTAGCATGCCTGAAGCCCTGGGTTCCATCGCCAGCACTGCATAAACTGGACATAGAAGTGCATGTCTGTAATTCCAACACTAACTCAGGAAGTGGAAACAGGAGGATCAGGAGTTCAAGGCCAGCATGGGCTACATAAGACCCTGTCTCAAAAAAAAAAAAAATTCCAGCCCATCACCTGGTCTCCAAGAACCACAAACTCTCCACCACAGCAGCAGCGCCTCCCACTCCCTCCTGGCACAGGGTGTGCAAGCCTCCCAGGTACTCTGTCCATGCTGGAGAGGTCTTTGTGCGCTGTGCTCCCTCCAACTAAAACCCTCCCCCATCCTCCTCACACCGATTCTTAACATAGCTGTTTCTTATGAAGTCCTCACTTCATAAAGTAGGCATTTCCTCGCTTCATTCTCTATCCAATATCAAGTCTATGTCACATTTGAAGCAATGGGTGATTTGTCCGTTTCATCTACTGTTCGCCTGGTCATATGAGCAGGGGCCATGGCTCCATGTTTGGTCTTATATTCCAGCAGGACCCCAGCATAGATTCACAGCAGGACCCAGGATTGAGTGCATCCCACCCCTCCATCTGCTAATCACCCCAAAGTGCTGACAGAACGTAATGTCTTCCACCATAAAAGCTGGCAATTAGTATCTGCTCTTTAGGGTAGAGTTTGAGGCTACATGTGGCCACTCAAATCCCATTGCTATGCATCATTCTGTTTCAGATGCTGATACCAGTTGCTTGAAAACAAGTGGCATCAAGAGTCAAGACTGTCACAGTCATAGTCGAACAAGTAAGTGCAAAGACACCATTTTTCATTTGTAACTCCCTGAAACCATTTTTGAGACAGTTCCTCTACCTTCATAAACTTTGAAGCTAAGCATTTGAGTGGAACCAGTCACTTCCCCAGTGAGGAAGTAGAGAAATCAACAGTTGTCTTCACACAGTATCAGAACTGTTATTTTTACTTGGAGATAGAATTTTAAGAATTAAAGAAATGGGGGCTGGAGAGAGGGCTCAGCAGTTAAGAGCACTGGCAGCTCCTGCAGAGGACCCAGGTTTGATTCCTAGAACCCACATGGCAGCTAACAACTGTCCGTAATTCCGGTTCCAGGGGATCCAACACCCTCTTCTGACCTCCTCGGGCATTACACCACATGGGTGCCCTTACACACGTGCAGGTAATACACTCATACACATAAAATAAAAATAATAAATAAAATATTTTTTTAAAAAAAGAATTAAAGAGGGGCTGGAGAGATGGCTCAGGGGTTAAGAGCACTGGCTGTTCTTGCAGAAGACCTGGGTTTGAATCCCAGCACCCACATGGTAACTAACAACCATCTATAACTTCAGCTCCAGGGGATCTGACGCCCTCTTCTGTCTTCTTGGTGCATTGCACGACATGGGTGTACTTACACACATACAGGCAGTACAGTCATACACATAAAATAAAAATAAATAATTTTTTTAAAAAAGAATTAAAGAAATATTCTGGGGGGAAGAAACCTCTATAGGAGTAAGCTGCAGGCCCACACTTTACAGCAGGAATACCAGATTTGTTTAATCTCACAATAGCGAGCTGATAAGAGATGGCTGAGAAAGATTCTGAGGGTAAGGCATAGCAGAAGAGTGGAGGGAAAGTGCTGAAGGCAAAATAATAGATCGAACTTACCCTGGGCCTAGTGTTTTAAATACATTATCTAATACCAGAGCCTTACAGCATAGCTGCTGTTACTATTATCGCCATTCCACAGATGTGCAAACAGGCACAGAGAAGTTAAGAGACTTGCCTAACATATACACAGGACCTCTCCCCAGAGGAGCAGTGGGGAGTGGAGCATGCGCGTATGCATGCCAAACATCGTGGCCCCGAAGCTATGCACGCAGAAATGGTCCTCTTCCTCATCCCTACATTGGTAATGGCCCAGTTACTTCTGGTACAGTGGAAAAGGGGCATACCCCCACCCACCCACCCCACCCACCCTTCGCTCCTATAATTGCAGGTTGGCGGCTCCGCCACATGACGCCCAAGTGGAAAAACACTAGTTCTTTTCTCTGAGATAAGGGTTTCTCAGCAGGGACCATTGGCATGCTAGGTCAAATTAGTCTTTGTTTGGGGAAAACTGCTGTGTTGTGCGTCATAGAATGTGTACTAGTATCCCTAGCTTCTACCCAGTGCGTACTGATCGTGCTTCCTTCAGTAGACATCAGAATATCTCAGGGTCTTGCTGCATGCGCCCTGCAATGCACGGTAATCACTGAAGAGAAGCACTGCCCTAGACTCCAGGAGCGGAGTGTATGGACGCTCTGGTTCGGAGACTGCGTCCGGCAGGGGTGCTGCCCCTGAACTCTGGAACTTAGGCGCTCCCTGGAACGCTTGCTGTCTGTCATTTAGAAGCTCAACTGTAGTCTTCACATTTAAAGAAAAGTTAGCGAAAATCATCTTACTTACTTTCTAAAATTTCCGATACTGTTTTCTTTACAGTTCCAGTAATAAAAATGCTTTCAATTACCTGCAGTTTACATTTAATAACTGTAATGCCCCCCCTCAAATATTCCTGGCCCACTGTGGGGACTTCTCATTAAGGTACTCAGGGGAGAATAAAGGGGAGGTCAGGATGGCCAGTCCATGAGATTTTCCCAGCACTGAGATATGCCCAGGGCAGAATCGAGCTGCCATGCCACAGATGTTGTGTAGAAAGCAATCGTCCCAGTAAGTATACTTCTAGCCACTTGCTATGGATTAAATCATTAAATCCTCCAACCTAGGCATAGGTACCCTTATTATCCCCATTTTTACCCAGAAGGTAACTAGAAAGACTGCAGTTCCAGAGCTAGGAAAAGTCAAGTTCCAGACCCAAACCCAGACAATCAGACCCCAGACCAGTCCTATCCATGCCCTAATGAACAAGAAAAATACCAACTTCTCATGATAAACTGCAGAATGGCTGTGAGTACCAGGTCTTAACACTACCCTCCAGCCCAACAGAGAGGGATGATAAGAAAAGCATTTCCCTCATCTGTAAGAATTATTCCATAGTGCCATGGGCCGAAAGGATACAGAGCAGGCATTTCCAGAGTAAGCTGGTGTCTCTGGATGTGCTAATAGTTCATCAGAAAACAGACCTTTCTCGGCTTGGTTAAGGTTACAAGCAGAGCTCACAATCAGACTGTGAGCATTATCTGTACACAACAGACGATCCTGTGGGTTAATGAGAAGTCATACAATTCAGCTCTGAAAATTTCAAAGAAAAGTTCAAATGACTAACTTGATTCCCCTTTATTCCAAAAGGCCTGCAAAGCTCTCACCTGTGGGAATTTGTGAGAGATTTGCTTCTTTCTCCTGACGAAAACTGTGGCATCCTAGAATGGGAAGATAGAGAGCAAGGCATTTTTCGGGTGGTTAAATCAGAAGCCCTGGCAAAGATGTGGGGACAAAGGAAGAAAAATGACAGGATGACATATGAAAAGTTGAGCAGAGCCCTGAGGTAAGTCAATAGCATCAGATACCATGAGCCTGCAAAGACCAATTATATAAAATAGCCAGCCGGAGAAAATTACACTGTTTTTTGCAGCTATTTTTCTTTTACTTTACAATGAAAAGGTCATGAGACAAAACTCAGCTTCTTATTTTCCGGTGGGATTACAACTTGTAAAGCGACCCACCATCCTTTTCAGTCTTGGCAGCATTCCCCAGGGGGGATCACCCTGAATTCAAGCCATCTTGCACACATGCACACAAAACACATGCTGATCTCACTGTGGTGAGGTTCAGTCTTCAAGATGTCTGGGAAGGGTTTAAGTGAAAGGCGATAACTGGGTGTGGAAATACCAGGGTAAGCAAAGCCCAGCCTTGTCACCCGAGAGGAGAGAGGAGTGTTTATGTTCTGTTGTTTTCTTGGGGTTCAAACCCTCCCTGGACTTTTCTGCTTACTTTCACAGATACTACTATAAGACAGGCATTCTGGAACGGGTGGACCGAAGGTTAGTGTATAAATTTGGAAAAAACGCACATGGGTGGCAAGAAGACAAACTATGATCTGCGCTGGGAATCAAGCTCCCTGTATGGATTTCTGTTATTTAAAAACAATCAGACTGCAATAGACATTTGAAAGTCTTTCTTCTCCTCCTCCTCCTCCCCC